TATTAAGGCTCCCGTGTTGTGTCGAAAGGCCCAGGACTGCAGCGGCCTCTGGAAAAGAAGAGTACAGTGCACCTTGATTTATGATCCTGGCTTGGACAGGTGCTTGAAGGCAGTCTGTGGGAACACTCACAAGCGAGTTTGGGGTGTACTCTGCCACAGATGTACGGACATGTCCAGGATGAGCGAAAGGCCACTAACACCAGATAAAACAGCTGCCAACACACACACTGGAGTGTTCTGATGGAATGTCGCCGGTAGTGGTCATAATGGTACAGACCTCAGCAGCTGGGAAACCTGTCAGGACTTCAGCTGTTGTTGACAAGCTGCTCTTATAGAAGTGGTTGAAGCAACAACGATGACGGTAACAATGCACAGGGAGGATAATGCAATACATCACGAATCACTGCAAGTACACAGTTGGACGTCTCCAGCTGCCTCACCACGAACCATGGGCGTCTTTGTTAGCAGGAGACCCATGGCCGTGCTCCTGCCCCCTGCAAGTGCAATACGAAATCTGCATGGAACTTCCGTTCCCCCTAGTGCCGGGTCGGGGGTGCTCACGCACACAACCGCCTACAGAGAGGCGGGTAACATGAAAGGGACTGCCGAAATATTACTTCGCTACGAACTGAAAGTAACAGAAGCAGAACAAAATCGATCCTCTTTTGCGCAATTTTGCGCAGACTATCGCTGCCGGCTGCCTACGAGCACCTGTGTAGGAGCGGTGAGAATAATCCCAACAACAATCGTTTACATCACTCTCAGCTTCATCGTCTGCGGCGTTTCGGGAGTCTTCCAGGGGGTTCTTGTTCCCGCACCACTGGGCCTACAGAGCTGCCTCCGCAAACGGATACATGCTTGCAGGAATGAGAGACAGAATGTTCTGGAATATAAATATACTTGGGACCCAATGTCTTGCTGAGCCAAATGTCCAAATGGCTGTACCGCTTCGATTTGAGCTGAAGCCTCCGATTCTTTGACAAAGAGCTTCTCGTAAAGCCAATCATCTTGCTACCCTCAACGACTGGATGATCATGGCGGTTGCGTTGCGGTCGAGGATCATGAAATATTTCCTATACCCAATCCATTTGACTGGCTGACTTCACGGTGACCTTTGAGCCGTCAACCTTCGGACCTGGAGGGTAGTAATGTAGGGGCCTTATTAATTAGAATAGGGTTTTGGCGTCTATTAGACTGTAGTCATAATAAGGAACTCCCAAAATGGTAGAGGTAATTATTAAGGCTCCCGTGTTGTGTCGAAGGGCCCAGGACTGCAGCGGCCTCTAGAAAAGAAGAGTACAGTGCACCTTGATTTATGATCCTGGCTTGGACAGGTGCTTGAAGGCAGTCTGTGGGAACACTCACAAGCGAGTTTGGGGTGTACTCTGCCACAGATGTACGGACATGTCCAGGAAGAGCGAAAGGCCACTAGCACCAGATAAAACAGCTGCCAACACACACACACACACACACGCACACACACACACACACAGGCACGCACGCACGCACATGCTAGGTTCCTCAGGCCCAGGCATCGAGATCGTCACCCAACGGCATCACGCGGCTTCGGATTGCAAGCCTCATGATCCGGTAACGTTCAAGGGTCTAGGGCTCGGAAACTCATGAAACTTGTGATGAGTTGTCCCGAAAGGCACAAAGCAGGATCAAAGATACACCTTCCAGGCAAGCCCCCTGCTTTTCAGTCGGATGACTCTACAAAGCTCGTCTCCAACTTACAAGCCAGAAATATAGTGTCAGAACCCAAAACAAGTTCAGCGAAACAAACTGTGCCACTGTACATTATTCCCTGGCGCACACACCCGAAGTCTGTCGTGTGCCTGGGGCCTAAGCTTCAAACTATGACCCTAAACTCCATGAGCCTCAACCCTGAAACCCTCGCACCCGTTACGGGGTTTAGGGTTTGACGTTTAGGGACCTTTACACTGAATTCTGAGCACTAAACTGCCTAAACCCCACAAAAACACCCAAAGCCGTAAGAACAAAAAGCCACGCATGAAGCTTCTTGCAACCTGGTCGCCACGAGGCGCGCCGCTGTTGGTTGCGGTCGGGCATCACCTCACTTCCTAGACCCTGTAAGAGGATTGAGGGCCGTGAACTACACTCACTAGAGCAGTATAGGAGTACCATATCTTCGATCCTCTCGGGGGTCCTGGTTGTCGTCGACATCCAAGGTTTGGAGTGGGCGACACTTGAGATCCGACATTTTATTGTCGAAGGTGTTTAAGCTCTACTTTTCAAAGGTGTAGCTTCGAGTTTGTTGGAAAGACCTCTGATTCTGAGGTGCTTGGAAAAGACCATGCTGCATGAGAAGGTTTTGAGTCTATTTCAATCTGCAGGGAAAGGGAGCATAGTGAAGGTTAGCAGCAATGTCAGGAAAATATAATGCGAAGGTCCACAGATGCAGAGATCACAATGCTTGACGGGCGCATTCCCTGCATAACCTGCTGTCATCCGACATCCCAGGTAGTTACAACCTAACAAGTGGAGCCCAACAAGGGCATACAAACATGCCCTTTCTCTGCACTGCAACGTGCATCCGAAAGTCGAAGGCTGGCATTCTTATGATTATGATTATTGTTATTATTATTGTTATTGTTATTATTATCATTATTATCATTATTGTTATTATTAACAATATTATTATTAGTATTATTATTATCAATAATATTATTGTTATTATTATTATTATTATTACTATTATATATATATATATATATTGACGGAACCTCGAGCGATCACGCAATCGTACAAGGAATCATTGGATGCCAAGCAGCCACGGAGGAGCGACGGCCGCCTTGCACGATGGAGCTCCTGCATCGTGAACCCTGGAGCCATCCCTGAGACCTCAAACCCCGAATCGAATCATAAACCGTGAACCCTATTCTAATCATTAAGGCCCCTAAACCCTAAATTCTTATAGTAGCCCGAATAGACCCCTTTAAAAGGAACCCTCCTGAAACCGCAAAGCCTTAGGGGTAAGGCCCCGAAGTACTGGAGCGCTGAGCCCTGGGCCCTGCCCAACAACACCGCAAAGCCAACATCACAGTCGGCTGAGGCTCCAGTAGTGCTGAAATCCCACACGTGTGCACTAATGCAGCAATGGAGCTAGTGTGATGCCAGGGGTACTATTGACCTGAACCCAGGAGATATACTAAACAGGATGTGCATGATCCCAATCGCAAAGGCCAATGTCCTTTACAAAGCTCTTCACAGGCCTTTTGTCTGAATCACCTGCGGGAAACCCAAAACCCCCTGTAAGCCCTGAAAGCCCGGAGAAGTCCTCCGCCCCCGGCGAGGAGAGGAGGCGCTGGGAGCCTGCACCAAGCTTTGGGGAACCCCAACAAGGCGTGGGCTTAGGGGCTTAAAGCTTGGGGTTTTGCGGTCTGTGCCCGGTTCTTAGGATACTTGGGCTGAGGTTGGCACGAGTTCTAGCACACATCAGGCTGCGGCTGTACAGGGCTACCATATATGACACTTCATGCTCAACATGTTTCTACATGGAAGTGCCAAACTATGTTTCGCTTTGACGTAAAGCTCTGGCAATGCCTGATTCCGACATGTCCACCCTAGCTTGAAAGCCAATACCTCGAAGGCCAGTGGAACCTCCCTACCCGTAGGCCGAAGTAAGCTCAACTGTGCCTTCTATCGAACCTGAGGCATTTGGGATTTCGGAGGTTCCGCCCATCGCACCTCGCTCTTCGGTCGCACGACCTGCTGGGGGCATATGCTCTAACTCTATACCATGAATAGTCTTGCTACGCAGGCCTGCGTAGAATGGCATTTGTCATACAAGCTCATTTGTATGTTGACAAAAATGTGCACAAAATCTGACGCCTTCCTCCGATTGACTGGGAAGGGAAGCCCATGTATAATGCAATGTGGAAAGTAGATTGCTACGTGTATGGAGCATTGGATTCACATAGTCACTTGATGTAGGCTATATAAGCCCTCGCAGTGCCTGTGTATATTCAGGGTGCACGATAGTTTTTGGTGCGACGTAAGCTAATTGAAGGAGCTTTCCACACTTCACAGTTCCGTGCATGACGTCACAGCAAGTGACTCAATACCTCACCTGCGACAATCAAGCCAAACCTGCCAAAACCCCCTCAATGCCGCACTCCAAATTGACATCTATTTGCGCTGTTGCCTCGATCTGCTTCCTGCCCCAAATGTCTTTGGTCGGTGGCCTTTGGATAATGTGTTGGCGCAGAGGGACTTAAGGTCGGATTTTAGTGGTGCAGGCTTTGGGTCTCTACAAGATTCGGATTCCAAGGGATTAGTTTGTTCGGGTGCGGTGAAAAATGAGGCTCGTATCGTGCTCATGTCGGACTTGATTCAACCGCATCATTCCTGGAATTCGCTTCTTTGCCAAAACGGAAAACGGAGAAAGCATGGTAGCCTTTAAATGCCGTCCGAAGCAAATCTTGCAACGTCAAAATCCTAACTTTCTCAAAAAACCAAAAATCCCACCCTACAGAACCCTATGAGTAAGAAACCAGGAAGCAATCTGAAACATGACCAACACTTTTTGTAGACGATTCTGCAACCCGAAAAGAAAGTCTCTCCCGACAGGTTCAGGAGCCTTGTTCTCACCGGAAGAACCATGCACACACACACACACACACAGACACAAACGTTCTCACTGTCTCGCTCCCTCTCTCGCTCTCTCTCTCTCACTGTTTCTGTCTCTCTCTCTCCCTCCCTCCCTCTCCCCCTCCCTCCCTCCCTCCCT